TAACATTTGCTCGAGCCCAGATTGATCTGATAACTAAAAATATGGTCACTCGTAAGTAATTGAATAGTTTTTTTTTAATCATTAATCATGTTCGACATTATATTCTTACATCTACTTTATAAACTGTTCACATTTAAAGAAAATCACATGTTTACAGGTGATGAAGAGAAGCAGAACACGGAGCCTCTCAGGATTGTGCTGATAGGAAAGACCGGCAACGGAAAGAGCTCATCAGGAAACACCATTCTAGGAGAGGAAGTGTTTAAAGAAATGCCAAGTCAAAAATCAGTCACCAAATACTGTCAGAAAGCACAGAGTGAGGTGGACGGCCGTCCGGTTGTTGTGGTCGACACTCCTGGTCTGTTTGATTCAACTTTATCAAAGGAAGAAGTTCATGAGGAGATGGTGAAATGCATCAGTCTTCTGGCTCCAGGACCACACGTCTTCCTGCTGGTGTTAAAAATTGGTCGTCTCACACCAGAGGAGAAGGAGACATTAAAACTCATAAAAGAAGGATTTGGGCTGAATTCGGAAAAGTTCACCATCATTCTTTTTACTGAGGGAGATAAACTAAAAAAAATGTCCATTAAAGATTATATTGAAAGCGAATGTGATGATTCCTTTAAGAAGCTGATCTCTGACTGTGGAGGAAGATACCATGTGTTTGAAAACTCTGAGACACAAAACCGCACACAAGTGACTGAGCTGATAACAAAGATTGACACCATGGTGAAGGACAATGGAGGAAACTGCTTCACCAATGAAATGCTGGAAGAGGCTGAAGCAGCAATAAAGAAGGAAATGAAGAGAATCCTGAAGGAGAAGGAAGAAGAGATGAAGAGAGAGAGAGAGGAGCTAGAAAGAAAACATGAGGAAGAAAAGGAAGCCATCAAAAAAAGATTGGAAGAAGAGAAAGACAAAATACAACAGGAAAGAGAACAGAAAGTCAAACAGATGGAGGAATATCTAAATAAGGAGCGTGAGGAGAGAAAGAAAGAACAGGAAGTTAGAGAAAAAGAGAACAGGAAACGGGAAGAGGAAGAAGAAAAATGCAGGCAGGAGTTTAAAATGCAGCTTGACATGTTGGACAAACAAATTCAGTCAGAAAAAGTGGAAAAAAAAAGGTTTGACGATAAGCTGGAAAAGAGCAGAGAAGAAACAAGAAGACAACAAGAAGCCTGGGAGAAAGAACAAAGAGAAGAAAGAGAGAAACAAAAACAAGAAGATAAACAGAGACGACAGGAGGAGGAAGAAAGAATGAAAAAACTTGAAGAAAAGTACAAACAGGAAAAAGAAAGTTATGAAAACAAAAGAAAAGAAGAAGATCAGATCAGGAGAGAAAAGGAAGAGAAAGAACAAAAAAAACTGGAGGAAAACTATAAAACAGAAATGGGAAATCTGGAGAAAACATATAAAGAAAAAGCCAGAAAAAAAGCTGAAAAGTTCAATGAATTTAAGGAAAAATGCACAAAGGAAATTTTAGCTCTGGAGCAAAAGCACGAGAACCAACTGAAAGACAAAGATGAGAAGTATGACCTGTTGAAGGCACTGAAAGCTCTAAATGATGAACAACTAAACAAAAAGCACCAAGCAGAAATCAGCCATATTGTGAAAAAAATGTCCAAAAGAAAGGACAGTCTGAGGAAAATCAGCAAATTACTGGATACACAGGAAAAGGAAATGAAGAATGTAAAAACTGAAAAGGAAAAGAAAACTCTACAGGAAACACATGAAGAACAACTAAGTGACCTGATAGAGGAACTTCTGACTGAAGTTGAACCAGAGAACAGAACAAGCTGGTGGACTGCATTCAAGAATTTTTTTTTATTTCTAACAGCAAGTAATCACAGCTGATAATGCCATATTTTACAGTATTAACATCTGGAAGGTTTTCCACTTTAAAAGTCATAACTTGAATAATTAATTTTAACCCTGTTTTATAAAGTGTAATTTGCCTTTAAGTATGCCAACTGAAGGATTGTCCACAGAGCTCATATTAACACCCAACTCTGTATTTCTGAAGTCAGTGACTCTTTACCCTGAACCCCAGAGGCACATTTCTTTCTGTCTCTTTTTCTTTGTATGAAATACTGTCTGAAACGCCATGCATGAGTAAGGAATTATCATCACCTCTAGTTTTCATACTAGTGGAAGTTAGTTTCAGCCGAATGAACTAGGTTTCACAATGAGCTCACCAAAAAACTTGGCTGATTGCGACCCACACCCATTTTCACACCTTGGCTCATGTGATTAGGTAGAGGATTAACATCCAGATGCTTTCTTTCCAAGCTCCTTAGACTATGGGCTTGGATGCCTGAGAGCCTTCACAGACATCTTACACATTTTATTGTTCCCTTTTTTCCTCCACAAATGTACAATTGGGTGTCATTCAATTATGCAGTTATCAGACAATAGAGACTGTATTCTTTTATAAATCTATTATAAATAAGAATCCATGCTCTGTAATATATGTGTTAATATATGACTTCTTTGTTTAATATAAGATGAATCAAGTTAACACACACAAAAACTCCACTGTTTCCACTGTTAACAAGACCAAATAAAAGATGTTCTGTGCTGCCTGTCTTTTATTTTTCTAAATATGCTGACAGCCTCCTACAACTTGCTGCACCCCCCCATGGACGTCTTACAATTCTTCACCCACAAAGGAATGCAGAAAGGGGCAAATATTATTTCATCTATAGTTCAATAAATGCCACTGTATTACCAAAGAATTAGTTACTATTGGCTGACTATGATGAGGGGTGGAGGAATTTTTCAAATTATTCCTTTAGGAAAAGAAGCAATAAAACACCTCAATACAAATAAAACTGTATTATTATGAAAATTGAAAGTACTATATAAACTCAACCTCAACATCAGTGTTTCCTGTCTGAGCTTTGGTTTTTCATTGTATTGTATTTCATTGTATTAAACCCATAGTATTTTTGAATTATACTTTTCAAATTTTTTTCTCACATATAATTGTAATGATTGTTGGTTTTAATATTAATTTCAGTTAACCAAACTGAAAACAATTTTACATATCATATTTTTTCTGACATTTTAAGCTAACATTTTTAGAGAGCTGAGGAAACTGGAAAGCAGGGAGAGTAGAGGAAGACACAGGAAAGGGTCTCACATTGTTCATGTTTTATATAATCAGTAGAGATCCAACAATTTTTTGAAACACTGAAACTTCACAATAAACTTACACTAGCAGCTCTGATCATCGGCTCTTTTCTTTTAGCTAATGTGCAACTGGAGCTTTGCTGACTGTTTAGTAATACACCATCTTTCTCTCTTTCTGTCCTTTGTGTTGTCTTTGTTTGTTTCTAATTAAATTAAAGTTTCCAGCTGAGTGACATTATGGCAGCTGTCAAGTCAGATTGTATTACTCCTAATAATACACTCCCTCATGTACAGT